CAACACACGCACTCACGACTGCGACCCCTTACCACGACCAGCGAACTCTTACAGAGAGACGCTGTGACTGCTCTTTCATCCCGACATCTCAATAGGCCCTGTCATTGACCAAGCGATTCAAGTGCCACCTTTCTCGGACACCAGAGCGTCCTAAACTGCTAAGCTGCAACCGTGCAGTGGTAGAGGGCGCCTCTTGAAGGTAAAGTCAGATCAGAGGGCACTTGCTTCGCAGCAGCAAACAAAATCTCCGAGGCAGCTGCTCTGCTTACTGAGCCTGGGTCACGATGGTGAATCAACAACCCCTGGGACACACTCCGCTCTTTGAGCTGCCGGGCGATCCTCTCGCGCAGGCCTCGATCAATGTGCCTTCACCTCATCAGCAGCGAGCGGTCTTCACCAGCAGCGGCCCCAACAACGCGGTGGCATCTAACAATCAGGCACCTCGAAAGAGCGCACCTGCTCCCATCGCCACGAATCGGGTTGCATCGCCCACCAGCCTGTTCAGTCCAACCAGTCCTACCTCGCCCAGCGCACGAGCTGGCGCAAGTGGCAGCGTGGCGCCTGTAGGCTCAATCGCAGCTAGACGTAGACGGGAGGAAGATGTGAAGCGACCCACCAGCCCCCAGTGAGTGTCTCGTCCGATAGAGCAGACGCTCGCATGCCTCATCGCGGCTTTTCAGAGGTAGTGGGGGGAAAGTGTTGCGCAACATGGGGATTTGTGAGGATGCGCTTTACCGTGACTGGGTGTGGACGTGCGCGAGCTGTAGAGCAAGATCTGACGCAGCAATGATCTGTCCCGCAACAGCATCACCCAGCCATCCATTCGGCACAGCATCTCAGGCAGGAGGCCAGAAATTGGCTCTCCAGCTTCCCACAGGCAGTCCTCGCTGGGCAGAAGTGAAGGATATGGCGTAGTGTTCGAGGTTGAGGAGGATGACGAAGCGGACAAAGGTCATCGGCATGTTGGCGCTCGTTCTGCCAGCCCAGCACCTCATCGCACAGACTCCCCCCGGCGCCGAGGTAGCGTGATGGATGAGGATGGACG